GAGCCTCTAGGGCACTTACTTAGAAGGGGCTCGCGGGGTGTAGTTACACCCCAAATCTCAACCCGTGATCCAGTCGGAGGCATTCGGCAGAGCTCCGCAATGCCATTGGCCTACTTTCCTTCACAGACCCTGCCTCCGGGCTGCCACTTCGCCAAAGGCTTGCAGGTCAAAAGGTCAACGCCATCTGCCTTGCACACCCAGATGGGCGCACACCACACATTGCGGTGCACACTCCCTAACGCCTACACCCAGACGCACCAGATCATTGGCACCCGAAGGCCGGGGGTGGGGTGGTTGAGGGGCGTTGGGGGGGTTGCCAAGCTGCGAGTGGGCGGGAAGCCAGGAGGTGGAGCCGTGCGGGGAGTCACAGCGAGGCCACGTGTTCTTGCCGGCGCGGGCCTTGTCCCCTGAGGCTGCCCAGCTGAGTGTAGAACAGGGGTTTCGAGGGGTTCACGGTTCCTGCACCACATAAAGATTCTGTCCCTGTTTTAGGCTTCGTGGAGTCTAAACTGGGTCACGTGGCGTGGACACCCGGGGAAAGGTGGAGCAAAAGGGAACCTCTGAGGCAGACATTCGGAAGCACCCTTAAGGTCTCCGCCCGTAGACCTTGTGAAGGCAGAGCTGAGATACTGCATCAGAAGGTTGGCGGCAGGAGCTTCCCCGCTCCCCGCTCCCAGGAGGCCCAGAAGGCAAGCCTAGTCAGAGCCCTCCCAACTCTGCTGCTCCATTCCCCAATCCCACAGCTCAGGCTGGCCCAACGTGCGCCCACATTAGAAAAAGCAAACGCGACCAACCTTCTCGCCTCCTGGTCTCTAGACTCTACCTCCAGTCTCCCGGGGAACGAGGGGCTCTCCTAAGCGTCCTGGGCCCCATAGCTTGATGCACCCAGCGGCAGGGGCCGTTTATAGCTGTCTTACTGTTTGTTATACACACACCCGTTCTATTTACTACTAAATCAAAGAAATACATCTGTGTTGCCAACAGAAACAACTCCGAGTTGGGTCCACTGTCTCCCAATAGCATTCACAGCTGCAGCACTCCAAATTATGGGGACCTGAAGTGCAGATCCAGCCTATCAGAGCATGGGGGGTCTGCGGTGGGCTGTTGGTGGACTTGTGAGTTTGTCCCAGGTAACTTGAGAGGAGAGAGGGCGTTAGCGTTTTCAGCTCCCTGCAGCAGAAGTGGTCTCCACCTGCTCCCTGCCCAATCCTTTCCAGGAGGGTTGCTCCTGATTTCCTTAGCCTGGGGCCAAAGAGAAAAGCAGCTTCCCAGAGTCACCTCCGTCAAAGTACCTAGTGACTGCATGGCGCCTTCAAGACAGCTGTGATGCTAAACACACACATGGATGGGGAAGCTGGGAGCCTGTGATCATGGATAGCTGTCTGGTTGTTTAACTGAAATTATGTACAAGTGTGTGGTGAGTGTTTGACTCAAGTGTGAGAGTATCCTGCCTGTTTGTCTTCTGTATGTGTGTCCGTTTGGATGGTGCAGAAAGGGGTTAGCAGAAAAGACATGCTATTTGCAGTGACTTACCGATTCATTCGGATGCTGATGGAGGAAGGATCTGAAGTTGGGGTGAATGAAGAGAAGGCTGGGTTTCACTATCTGAAGGGAGTGAAAGGGTAACATGGGGTATCAGTACACCGTCTCAGGGTAGGGAACACAGGCTGCCCAGCTGTGCCCAGATGGACTGGGTGGGGGGCTTTTAGGAAACAAGTTGGGGAAAGCACCCTCACTCCCCTGGGAGGGTCCCCTTCTGATGAGTGGGTTCTGCAAGCACCAGGCAAGCCCTGCAAGAAGCTCCAGGAAGGGAGGCATTCTGGGTGGGCAAAGATGACCCTAGCAGCCAGTTCTCCCAGATGTGACAGTCCCTCCTCATACTCCCTTGGCCTCTCCTGCTACCAAGGTCTCAGAGAGACTGGTTCCATCTAAGATGCTGCTCACACAGTGGCTTCTGGATTCAGTATCCCTGCACCAGCCGTAGAAGAATTCTCTAGCACTAAAAGTATTGATTCTCACCCCATTGGAAGGAAGTGGAAGTTTCCTGTGAGCTTCTAGACTCACACTTGGGCCGCAGTGGCACCCCACCATTGGTGAGGGGTACGCAGTTCAGGGCAGTGGGACTGACCAAGAGAACAGAAGGGAGGCCTGGGCAGTTGGGCAAAGGATAAAGGTGATTGTAACAAACCAGTTATTTCTTGACTTTGTAAAGACCAAGTCAGTCAAGAACCGTTTTCCAGAATCCAAACACAAATAAAGAAGTATTTTCTTGGCGTTTGATAACATCGTGTCCTGGCTGTAAAAATCTAAGAACATGTTTGCTATTGCAACATGATTTTTAATGAGCTGTTATTGGCCTGTCCCGCAGTTAGTATTGCCAACAGTAAAAGGCATCACTCTGTTTGTAGGTAACACAAGGCACAACATATTTTGACCCCGAATTTCTGTTTATTTTTCATTTACGACACATGCCCGCGTTTTTATTCCAAACCAGAGGGAAATAAAGGGAGATCTATCTTCACTGGAGGCCAGGCTAAAATTTTGCCATAAATACGCATGCCGGTTTATTTGGGGGCGGTTTTCCATCAACAGAAAACGATAGTCGACGTTTCTGCCAGAATAAAATCAATTGTGTCGATTGAGTTCGAGGGCCAGACGTGTGCAGGCGCTCCCCAGCGGACGCGCGCCGCCTCATGCAGTACTCTCTGAGCTCCTCCCCGCCACCTGCCAGGCTTTCAGCCCTTTCCTGACTGCCTGGGTCGCCAGCTCCGAAGCAGGCGGCCACTCCAGTTGACTATGGGCGCCCAAGCACTGGACTTCCATTGGCCGGCTAGTGGCAGCTTTAAAGCCACCTGGAGTGCCCTATGGGACAGGAGTAGGGGACCCAGAAAGATAGCCCTTGAGGCATTCGGTGCCTCTGGGCAAAGAAGGGCCTGCCGGGGGTGGGTACAAACAATGTTTCTTGGCACTTGTCACTCTGGGTCCAGATAACGTTTCTGCACTGGCCGCAGTTCCCCAAGACCTAGGGGAGGTTCCCGTCTCATCCTGGAGCTGCGGTCCTCTAGGCTAGTTGCCCGCCCCACCCCACCCCACCCCCCAGCACCCCGTAGGCACCAGACTTCACCCCTTCCCGTCCCAGGCTCCCAACTCGCTGGTCAGTGCCCAGACATGCCCCAGCCAGGAGCGCTCAGCTCTGAAGGCCCGACGGGAGCAAAGATGAAGCTGCAACCCTGCGCTCAGAAATACCAAGTCCACGGTGTTTCTGTTCTCGCGGCTGTCGCTGCTCGGTTTCAAAATCTAGATAACCCTAGCTCCTCTCTCCTTCTGCCTGCTTTGCTCCCTGCTCACAGGGCGTTTCAAACCTGGGGGATACGCAAGCGCCCCTGGTCGTGAACAAAGCCGCTTGTGTTCCACCTCTACCAGGATTATAGAACCGGCGTCCAGGTCGACCTCAGAGCGAACGCAGAGACAGCCGAGAGCCAGACAGAAAAGAATTCCCGAGAATTCTGGGAAAAAAATCGTCCCAAGTTACACACTCTGGAACACGAAAGGCTTCGCTTTTCTTTTTTTTTAATTAAGTCAATTTCACAACATTCAGTGTAACAATATTTTGTGTGTGTGTGTTTTGTTTTTTGGTTGTGGTCACGCCCCCCCACTTTTCTTAAAAAGGAACTGATCCCAATGGGCAGAGGTGGAGAGATGAGGAGAAAGCAAAGCCGAATAACAGGTGTAGCGTACAGAAAGAAAAGGGACTGGGACTGGGAGGCGGAGCAAGCCCCGCAGAAGTGAGAGTGAACTTTACAAGAATTCTGTACATTATCAAATAAGTTAAAATTCCCCTAAATTGATTGTCCTTCACTTAAAGCGCTCCAGTATTACTAACTTCCTCCTTTGAGCATCGCTACCTATCCTTGGTTGCTTCCTTACCCCTGTTAACTTTATCTTCCTACAAGAATGAACATGATTATAATATGAAAGCATCTGCTTCCCTCCGCTGAGGCAGCAGCCAGCCGGACTCGCAGGAAATTTTGTACAATATTGCACAGATTAAAAGACAACAGTTACTGGGGCTGGAGGGAGGGAAGGGGAGAAGGTAGAAGATAAGTTTTTCGGTTTTTTGTGTGGTTTTTTTTTTTTTTTTTTTTTTGCCTTTTAATATCGAAATTACTCTCTCAAAACAGGGAACAAAATAACAATAGTAATATTAGTAATAATTTACTAACAAGTGAACCCCTCTCCCCCAGATAAAATGCTACTCATAAATAAGACCACTCAAGATTGGCCAGATTTTGTTCGATACACAGAATTCTGATTTGGGGCTGTCTTTTTCCTTTAAACACTTAATTAAAGAATCCCTCCATCACAAGGGATGGAATAGATGGAGGGAGAAACTATGACAGAACTCTCCCAGGGAGAAAAGCATTCAAAGTAGAGGTTCTCATAGAAACCTGTTCAGATTCTGAAAATTGGAGAGGATTTTTGACTGGGGTGGGGGGGAGTCATACCCAGAAATCCAGAAATAAAAGTAGTAAAACATGAATTTTCTCTCTCTGGAATTCTGAAAATACTTCTATAGAAAATGAATAAACTACAGGGATTCGTAGTTGCGCTTATTTTCCTTCTATAAAAAATAAAACCAAAAAAAAGTCATAGCGCAGTGCAAATTTTGGGGGTGGGTGGATAGGGAGTGAGAGGACTGGAAACTTTACAATTTCTTTCAGGTGAAATATTTGAACCGGAAATTTTGTTTTCTTCCTCCTTTTTCAATATAAAACAAAACTAAAAGAGGGAAGCGCCTCAAATCGAGTATGGGTGAATTGCACGAAAACGCATTGCAAATACTTACAAAACGCTACCGTTTGGGAGAAGAGGAGGCAAGGCCCCGCTCCCAAAACCCTGGGTTCGGAAGGCCGCTGGACGACTCGGCGCCCTCGCCCGGCCTTGCAGCCGGGTCCAGTCTTCTCCAGGGACCAGGTGCTCCTCTCCTCCCCTCTCCCGGCTCAGACGGGCCGCAGTAGCGGCACGGACGAGACCACTGGGTGCGAGTAGTAGACCGGGTGCGGGAAGGTGAGCAACGGCTGACTGACCGGTACCGGGGCGCCTGCAGCCGCCGCGGCCGCCGCACCCTCAGCTGCCGAGTTCTCGTGGTAGAGGATGGGCACCCGCACGATGCGCTGCGCTGCAGCGTGGCTCAGGTTGGCGGCCTCCAGCTCGGCAGCCAGCTGCCGCTTCCACTTGTTGCGGCGGTTCTGGAACCAGATCTTCACCTGCGTCTCCGTGAGGTGCAGGGACGCGGCCAGGCCGGCGCGCTCCGAGCTGCTCAGGTAACGCTTCATGTCGAAGGTGGACTCGAGCTGGAAGACCTGGCTCCGCGAGAAGACCGTACGCGTCTTCTTCTTCCGGCACGCTGGCTTCTTCTCGGGGCTCTCGGCACCCTTCTTCCAGTCCTCGGCACCCGCCGCGGCTACCGCCGCGCCCATGTTTGCCCCGGCCGCGCCCGGCGCCGCCTCACCCTCCTTCTTGCCTTCCTCTGAGTCGCTCTCCTCTAGAATGATCTCGTCCGGGCTCTTGGAATCCAGCTCCTTGTGGTCGGGGTCGGCCTTGAGCAGCGGCTCGGGAGAGTCGCGGTCTGTACCCGAGGCGGGGGAGGAGTCTCGCAGGAGAATCTTCTCTGAGGCTGCGGAGAGACAGACGGACGCACACACAGGCACAAGGACACAGCCTTCAGGGAGGCCCGGCAGCCCCTACACCCCACGCTGGCCTCCTAACTCCCGAGGGCCTCCTTTCCCGCCTCGCCAGACTGGAGGCCCCGTCCTGGGACCCTCCTCCTCCCTAGGACCTGAGAGAGAGATCGGGCTGGCACGGTCGCGCCCATCAGAGCCTCCGCCAGGGGCCCCAAGGAGTGATTCGCCTCTCCACTGGAGCCATCCGGGTGGTCCCCTGCTTCCAGGCCGCCTCCTCAGCTCCAGCCGCGGGCTGCCCTCCCGACTCACTTCCGAGACCACTTTTCCTGAGTCGCACTATGCTCTGGGCTCCAACTCCACTTCTATTTCACCCCAAGTGGGATTGGGTGCCTGTGCGGCGCACCAGAGCGGGCGGAAAGGAGTTATGTACAGGGGACAGCAGCAGAAGTGAGGGTGCAGGGACCCCAGGACTACAGGGGTTGGGGGTGGGTGGCAATGCAGAATGAGGTGGGATGGGTGCGGGGCGGGGGGAGGCAGCAAAAGTTCAAAGAGCGGTCGATACCTTCGGGTCTTGGGAGGAGGCCGCTGGCGGGGGTCAGGGTGTAGGGGTACCACCAGGCCGGGGAGCGCTCCAGGTAGTGCGCGGGCAAGGCAAACCTCTGCGCCGGGATCTCAAAGCGAGGGAAAGCCAGGTCGCCCACCTGCGAGAGCGCAAAGCCCGCGGCGCCCTCCAGGGCCCCCTTGGCCGCGGCAGCTGCAGCGGCGGCCGAGGCCGGCGCGAAGAGCGTCCGTGAGGGCGGCTGCGGCTTGGGGGGAGGCCGGTGGTGGTCTCCGTTGAGCAAGTTCTTGATGGAGAACGGGGACTCCTTGGGTGCAGGCGGGGGAGGCGGCGCCGGTGGCTGTGCGCTGGCGGCGCCAGGTGTGTCCGGTCCGGGTTCCGGCATGGTCCCCTCTCCTCCTCTGGGTCCCGGACAGGGAGGGAGCGGGACAGAAGGGTGGCCGAGGAGGCGGAGGCCGGAAATCAGACCATCCACGGAACTCAGCTATGGGGCGCAAAGTCGGGGGCCGCCCCGGGCCGAAGTCGAGAGGCGGGAGGGCGGGGTGAGGCCCGGGCCAGTTGGGTGCGCATGGGGGAGGGGGCGGCGGGTAGGGAGCGGCCGGGCCGCTGTACAGAGGGAGCAAAGCGGCAAAACGGCTGCGGCTCCCGGGGAGGAGGCAGTAAGAGCAGTCCCCGGCTTGGGGCTGCGTCAATCCGGCGCCGGATGCTAATGATGAAATCAAAATGTCATCCAAGTTAAATGCGGGGAGTATACGGCGATTGGGCGCGTACAATGGCAAATGGGATTAGGCAGGAGAAGGCGCAGCAGCCGAGCCCAGGCCCCGCAGCCGCCTACGCCACCGCCCCCTCTTCGCCTTCCCTCGGATTTTGGCGCTTTGGCTTCGGGCTATAAGAGCCCGCCTGTTATTGGCTTTATATAGTCCAATTAGGCAGCAAATGAGGACAAGCCTATTAGTACAAAAGGATATTGGCTCCTCGCTAAAGAGGCACTCCGAGCGCTCCAGCAAACGCAGGAGGTGAGCGAGGGATGCGGAGCCGGCAGCGCCCGGGGCCGAAGCGCACTGACAGTCAACAGTAGTGCAGAGCCCAGAACCTACGCCGCCCTCTTCCCCCCGGCGGCTCTTGGACCTGCTTCTCAAAGCCGGGCCTGCCGGAGGGGGCGGGGCGGGGCGGGGCGGGCCCGCCTGGGTCACTTCGGGGTTATCTGCGCTTGCAGCTGCCTCTTCCCCGCCCCCAGGGGCCTGGACAGAGCCGGGTAGCCCCCTCGCGGTTGGAGAGCCACACCGCGCGGGTCCAGGCGGCAGGGCGTGACCTGCTGTCCGCGGTGAACTCAGCACTACCCCACCCTTTGGAGCCCGGCGGCCTCAACATTTCCCCAAAACCTGCTAAGATGCGCGCACCACGAGGAGGGAGATTTGAGTCCTCCGTCCCCCTATCTAGCCGATAAGAAGGGAATCCATTATCTAGCTGATAAGAAAGAAATCGGGGTGGAAGTTCTTGCACTGCATCCTTCGGCTCAGGAACCCACGAGGCCTTGGCCTTTGGTCCTGGAAAAACCGAAGAGTGAACAGGAAACTGGCAGGAGCAGGAAAGGGTGTGCGTCTTGGAGCACCTGCGTGTGAACGCAGAGCCGGCCCAAGTCCGCGTCACTCAGAGGAGCCAGGAGCCGATGGGGCCAGTGGTATTCCTGCACCTACCTACCGAGGAGTTCAAGGACACCCCCGATTTCTGACCCCCTCTGCTCGTGGCTTTGGGAACGAACTCCGAGCCCATCACCCCAAAAGCAATACTGTATCCCAGGAAGACAACCCCACCCTCCCCACCCAGCTGGTGGTCAGAGCTTCCTAACACCTCAAGTGGGAGCAATAGGATCCGAAAGGCACAGTGGGTGCCTTCTTCCGGCCTTGGCAGTGGCTGAGGTGTCTGCAGCATGTCCAGGCTGCCCAGTCTCCAGAGAACCCAGCTGGGCCTCTGGACTCCATCGACTTTGAAAACATTTCGTGAGACAAGCATGGAAGACTAGATTTAAACCACAAACAAATTAGAATTTGACACTGGGGATCTGGAAACAGTGTGACTGACACTTCCATACACAATGGTTGTGGTTGTTCCCTTGGGTTTGTTTGTTAAGTGTCTTTGAGTCTGTTCTGACGCATAGTGGCCCTGTATAGGATTTCTATTAAATCTTCGCGGGAGCAGGAAGACTCATCTTTCTCCCGCGGAGCAGCTGATGGGTTTGAACAGCGAACCTTGTGGTTTGCCATCCAGTGCTTATTGTATTGTTGTTGTTAAATGCCGTCGAGTCGACTAAAAGGCACCCTGTACAGAGTTTCCGAGGCTGTAAATCTTTACGGGAGCAGAAAGCCTCATCTTTCTCCCGCGGAGCAGCTGGTAGTTTCGAACTGCTGATCTTAAGGTTCGCAGCGCGATTCGTAACCACTACGCTACCAGAACTGTACTTAACAAATTGCAAAATGCCATCTACAGTCCCAAGACTCCGAGTTTATAGATGGAAACAGGCGTCCAGAGAGAAAGTGCTAGACACGTGCAGAAATTGCTCAGCGCGGTTGTGGTCTGTGTGGGTTGTGGCTCGGTCTGCCCGCGCTGGCTTCCTGGCCCAAGAAGCGACTGAGAGGCCCCTGAGGGTACGCGCCTGCGGGGCAGACACGTGCTAACTTGGCCAAAGTTCTGAAGTTCTGAAGTCGCCTTTAAAATGAGACCTGCGGAAAAGCTTCTCCTGAGGAAAAGGAAGGACAGTGCAGACGTCTCCAAAAAGACTAAAGGTATGGTTTGGGAGGTAGGCTCCTACCTTAAGGCAATTTAGGGATTAGACCCAGGCTGTCGTGAGAAGAGGACGCGGCCGCCGCCCCTTGCACTCCGTGGCTTTCCTACTCACTCCTCCCACTTTCTTAGCTCCCCAAGTTCTCTGAGGTCTTCTCCCAGGGTAAAGGTGCACCGGTGTGTGGTTGCGTTTTGACAAGCGGGGGTGGTTCTCGATGTCAGCACCTTCATCTGAGTTTCAAAGATGCTGCTTAGAGGATCCTTTTGTTTAGAGCCAGCTCGTGAGTGCCCAGCCGGGGCAAGAGCATAGACCCCCCACTAGCCCTCAGGCGAGGGGTGTTTGCAGGAACGATCTGCGCCTCTGCTGACTTGTACATAAACCTCCATTTAAAGTCAGGCAAACAGCGCCCTCTATGGGACATCCTCTTCACCAGGCTTGTGTGTGTGTAGGGGGTGGGGGGGGGTTGATCTTACCGTTACCTCCACTAAAGGGGAAAAGCATTTTAGCTCTGGGTTGGGGGAGAAGTAGTGGGTGAAATCATCGCCGCCGATTTCTTCTGATCTTTATCTTGCCTGTTTCTCATTCCCCTTCTTCCTTGCTCCATTTAGAGCCCAGTCTATGTTTTCCTGGAACTTGTCCTTTAGGTAACTGCCCCGCAGCCCAAGAGCCCTCATGGCATCCATAGATTAAGAGATGGGCTGCTAATTGCAAAGGTAGCCCCCAGAACCCTATACAGGGTCGCTATGAGCTGGAATTCACTCATAGGCACACAACCACCACCTGCAGCCCAGGTGTGAGTTACTGGGAGGAGGGTTATGTTATTCATCTGAGCCCCAGGACTCAAGGTCTGCCAGGGAGGTGGTGCTCAGTATCAGCATGTGGTCATGCAGGAGTGAGTGAGTGAGTGAATGAACGAATGAATGAATGAATGTACAATCCCCACTGCAGGGAAGTGATCTAGTTGATTAGGGCCCTTCTCAAAACTAGATAAATTGTACTCAAAAGCAGTTCGTAAGAAGTTTAATGGAAATCTGGAAATTTTTCATGGTGCATTTTACAAAGGAGGCTTTAAAAAGAAAGGGAAAATCCTCACAACTGGACCAATCAATAATATCATGGTAAATGGAGAGAAAATTGAAGTTTTCAAAGACTTCAATTTGCTTGGATCCACAATCAATGTTCATGGAATCAGCTGTCAAGGAATCAAATGATATATTGCTTTAGATAAATCTGCTGCACAAGGCCTCTTTAAAGTGTTCGAGAGCAAAGATGTCAATTTGGGGACTAAGGTACATCATGCATGTGAAAGTTGGACTGTGAATAAGGACGACTCTAGAAGAATCAATGCATTTGGATCCTGATGTTGGAAAATATTGAAAACACCATGTTTTGCCCCAGAAGAACAAACAAATCTGTTTTGGAAGAAGCACAAGAATGCTTCCTAGGAGTGAGGATGGTGAGAATTGGTCTGTTATATTTTTGACAGGTTATCAGGAGGGACTAGTTCCTGGAGAAGGACATCATGCTTGGTAAAGTGGAGGGTCAGCGGAAAAGAGGAAGACCCCTCTCCAAAGTGATGAGCTGACACAGTGGTGGCAACAAGGGTTCCATTACAACAATTGTGAGGACAACACAGGACCAGTGTTTCAATCTATTGTGCATAGGGTCAGTATGAACCAGAGCCCGCTCAACAGCACCTAACAACAATGATAACAGTGCCCAAGGAAAGGACCTTGGAGAGGCCCTCATTGACTGATCCAAGGCAGATAACCACGGGGAGCAGGGTGTCGGTCCTCCCTAATGCAATAGTGGGCTAAGAAGGCACAAGGGACCTGAAGAGTACCAAAGAAGCGCCAAAGGACACCTCCACTCCCACATCTACATCTACACATGTTTCAACATCTTCCATCTTTCCCACTCAGAGCCTCTGGGAGGGTTCGAATGATCAGCCTATTACTTAGCAGCCAAGTGCTTAACTATTGTATCGCCAGAACTCCTTATATACATTCAGACAAGTCAGTCAGTAGGGGTTTCTCCAAGATGAGGTGCTTCCCCAAACTGCTAAGAAAGGGTTGCTTCCCTCCAGAGGCAGGACAGGGTCTTTCTTCTCAGGACAACTTCCTTGGACTGTCCACTTGCTTATCCATGAGAGAAGGAGGTGTTCTTTTAAGCTACCTGATCTTCTCCCTACAACTGTCCGGCCAGAGTTCCATGGTCCCGAGGGTCACATTTTAGTGCCAAACACTCCAGCTTGCTGCTGGGTCCTTCTGACCTTCATGCGCTTCTTCTTGTCGGCAGAATGGACACAAGCTGGGGCTGTGATTCCAGGAAACAGTAGCCCCAGGCTGCGCATGCCCTGACCGGCTCCCAATGACAGTCCCGCTGCCATGTCATCTGCTCATGTGTGGCCACGACCGGAAGGCTGCAGAAGTCTCCTTCTTCCAGTAATGAGCGACCTGAGAAGATGGCCAGCCTTGGAGAGATGGGTCATAGCCCTGCCAGCCTCGGTCACTGATGCACCCTAATCTGTTATTACAAACATGTGCTTAAAGTGCCTGACTGGCGTTCTAATGACCATTCCTCAGACTAAGAGTAAAAAATGA